CCCTTATCTCTAATTTTGTTGAAGAGAGAGTATAAGCAATAATAGGAAGGAACAAGTGTTTTTGCTGGTTGAGATAAGGATAGCCATACAGGGAGTTGACTCACATTAATTTCCTGAGCCACATAGGCTTTTAATTCAGCATCAAATTCCCCATAACTTCTTTACACTTGTTACTACCTAAGTTAGGATTTCAGAGTTAGTAAATCATTAGTGAAATTCTTAAACTAAAATTTCCCATTGAATTCTGTTGTTTGGTAAGTTTGGCTGTTTGGGTTTTTTAGAAGACTAAAGTTCATTTCAGTCCGACAATATTTAAAGTCCTTGCTAAGAAATTTGAAGTTTCTATTGTTGAGTTAAATCCGATAGGATATTTTCTTTCTCATAGAATTTTTAAGCTCCTTATTTGGATTTTGGAGGCTGACATTAGAAGGTGAGGATTCTGAATCTCAACCTTAATGTGGTTTTACTGTCTTTACTTTCAGATGACACCTATGGGCCCTTATGGAAATGGTATGCAATTCCCTCAGCAGTTCCCACAGTATCAGATGCCCATGTGGCCTCACCCACCACCTAGCGCATGGCAGAACCCTCCAGCACCGAAACACCAGAGCAACACCGATCAAACTCAAGAAACTCAAAAACCCAACCAGACTCAACCAAAAAAGCCACCACAAATGCAGCCTTTAACACCACCACCACATGACCCAAATCAAGCCAAAGAGGAGGCCCAGCCACCTCAGGTGAGACTTGCCTAAAAAATTGCAAATCGGAGTCAGAAAAAGCTTTGAAAAGGATTTGGAGGGCCATGCCATTCCTGCATACATATTCCCTCCAAAACTCATAGGTACTGTTATACGGTAATAAAATACTTATTTTTTACTAGGTAGTTACTAAAACATTTATCAAAACTACCTAGAGAGTCAATGCCAGCCTTGTTTGATTCAAAATTACCCAAATACCATTGCCTTAAACAAGATCCTACTAGTGGCAAATGAAGCACATGCCACTAGCATAAGAGTCAAGAAACAAAGGTTCAAGTTTCACCCCCAGTCCCTATTGGTTATATGGTCATGATCAAGTCACTTTACCTTTGTAGATGCTAGTTTACCCATGAATAAATTAAATGGTCTATAAGTCCTTTGCAGATCTATGCTGTGATGATCTAAATAGCATTCTGAAATTAATACTGCTTCCCATACCTTAGGGTTACATAAATGTAGCACTGACTTAATGCAAGAAGATATACAAGCATTAAGCATCAAAAATACCAACTTTTTGGTCATTTGTTATCACATACAGCTAAAGATGTAGGGAATACAAATTTTGTAAGAAAAAAAAAAAAGACATTCCTGTATTTGAATCCTAGTTATAATCATTCCCCTGCCATGAGGTTTTGTGCAAGTGGTATAACTTCTCTGAAATTCAGATTCTTAAGTAAAAGGGGAATAATAATAGTGCATATCTTTCTCAATTATTTGAGGATTAAATGAATTTATTAACATAAAATGCTCAGCATAATGTTTGGAATATGTTCAATAATTAATGTTTAATAATACTAATTATTTTTATTTCTGCAAAAACACACACAGAGAGACAGAGAGAGAGAGGCAGAGAGACAGAAAAACATAGAGAAAGCTAGGTGCCAGTGGCTCACACCTGTAATCCTAGGTACTCAGGAGGCAGAGATCAGGAGGATTGCAGTTTGAAGCCAGCCTGAGCAAATAGTTCACAAGACCCTACCTCAAAAAAATCCATCACAAAAAAAGGGCTACAGAAGTGGCTCAAGTGTAGGTCCTGAGTTCAAACCCCAGTCCACAAAAAAAAAAAGACATAGAGAGTTTAATACAACAGGAAATATAAATCCTCAAGTTTCAAATAGTTGTATTGAATTAATTTGCTTCCTTTTTCATTTATTTGTCTTACTTCTACCTAAATCTGATTCTTTCTTTCACTCTAGCCATTCCCACCATTCAGCAATGGGTTATTTCCCTTTCAACAACCACCATGGCCAATACCACAGGTAAGAATTTTTTCTTTATACTAGAAATGAGAAATAATATTAGCATGTTATATCTTAAGTTAATAAAAGTTCATATACTCTAATAGAATGTCATTTACTGACCAACAGAGAATGTGAAACAAAATCATATCAGTAACTGTGTAGAAAAATGACAATTTTTTATAGCCAGGCATGGTAGTACACACCTGTAATCCCAGCATTTAGAAGGCTAAAGCAGAGGATCATGAATTCAAGCCAGCCTTGGCTACCTAGGGGATTCAAAGCCAGCTTGAGCAACATAGTGAGACCCTATATCAAAAAAAATAATGCTTTTTTTAATTATGGATAATTTTTACTCAGACTAATTGATGACATGAGAACATCCTAAATCACCAAATAGCTACCAATAATCTAGTCAATAAATTAATTTGAAAGAGCTATATTATTTATTACTATTTCCCCACTTCCCTAAGAGATTTGAAAATACAATGACTACCTCCATTTAATGTAATGGAAAAATTGAGACAAAATGGAGTTTGAAAACCAAAAAGTAAACTATGATTAGATCAGACTAAAATCTTTCCATCATATCTGTTTCTAGCTCCAGTTATATCATTATAAAGAATCTTACAAAATAATATTTATAATAATTTTTAAATCTAAAATTATTAAAATGAAATATAATATTAAAATTATTCACAGGCAGTAAAATATGAATGGCAAAATAAACTATTTGAAATAAAGAAACAGTAAAGGCCAGTTGTTGAAAAAAAATGATAAACTTGATTAAAAAAAACAAAGGAATACTTCATGACTATTCATTCAGCTATGGCTTAGGTTTTTCTTGCCTATTAACTTTATAACCAAGAGGACTTCTTATCAACAAGGAACAATTCATTTCAAGGAGTAAGCATTCTTTACTTTCTTTTACTGACCATACCAAAGTAAGGAAACTAAGACAGTTCCTTAAAAATTTTTAAAGCAGCATGACTTTCATAATTAAGTGACTGTTAATCTCATCATCACAGAACTTCCTGAAATTCTGTGGGAACCACAGACTTTCTAAATCCTCTTACTTTTTAACAATCCCTGAGCAGAAATGCAGTCCCCAAATTTGATTAGGAAAATTAATTCACTAAATGTGAAGCAAGCATTTGAAAAGTAACATCATTTAATTTCTACTGCTAAATGATCTAATATGGATATCTAGATATCACTCAAACCTTTCTCTCTCTCTCTCCTTGCCTCCTTCCCTCCCTCTTTTCCTCCCTTTCTTTTCTTCTCTCCTGCCATTCTTCCTCCTTCTCCTATGGGGATATAATGAGAGGGTGGAAGTTATGAGTGTTAGAGGAAGTACATAGGGTGATTGCTAAGAGATGTGGCCATACAGATATTTTGAGTAGGATAATATAGGACCTACCTGAAGCCTTCTATTCACCAGTATTCACTTATGAATCACAAAACTTAATAGTCAGTGAAGGTACTGATTAGGGAGCTAGAAGCGCACAGTACTAACGCAATTACTGATTTGAGCTAATTTAACATACCTTCAGTCTTACAAACAAGTGGCAGCATAGAAAGTGGCTTCCTCCTATGTTTATTACATTTTTCACCTTTCAGAGGGTACCACCACCAGGTTTTGGACGTCCACCACTCAGCAATGAAGACGGAGGGGTAAGAATAAGTAAAGTTACATTCCCCATTAGGAACGGCAATCTGTCAACATCAACTTGTTGATTCACATCTAATAAGAAAATTAAAATTCAACATGTGACCTTTCTGTAGTTCAAGCTCCCAATAGTTTTTAAAGTGAAAAAAATCAACCTAATGACTGAAATAAAATATGATACATCATTTCTCCTCCACATGTTGTAAGATCTCTCCCATACTTGCTAATAAAGCTAACAAGCTTTTTTCAAGGTTGATGCTGGACTCGAGACCATGATAAAGACAGAAGGAAATTAAAATCTTAGGCTGTTAGCATCAGAATGGAATTAAAAGATTATCTAAATTCTTCATTGTACAAATAAGTTGAAGCCCAATGAAGATAAATTACTATTCAATTTCACATCTTCAGTTAGCAGAAACTGGACCAGAACTCAAATCCTCTGACATCCTGTACAATGACTTTTTATTCCATTGCTCCATGAGAAGAATCAAATGTATGCCATAGAATGATATACTCCTTAAAATATTCTAGCATTGTTTCATCAAGTAAGTCATTTTAGTGGTTTGGTACAGCACTCCATCCCTGGAGCTTGCTTCCTCTTTTCCCCTAAATATTTAATGTGTGCTCAGCTAAATGCAGAAACCAATAGCGTTGTGGGGGAAGAGGGAACTAAAGTGTTCTTAAAATAATGACATTGAAAATTACTATGTCAATAATAGTATAGGATACTTTCAAAAATATAATGAAGTACTCAAATAAATATGATTCAGATAATTGTATACAGTCTAACCTAGAAACTTGCACTTCAGATTTTTACAAACAGAACATCAGAAAGTGAAACAGAATAAGCAAGGCAGTTAACAAAGGCATTAAGTCTATATTCTACCTCTTGGTGACATTGCCCAGTTTTCTGCATGACGCTGGAGACATCTCCTCACCTGTCTGTCTCATCATCTCTGTCCACAAATGGGGATAAAAATACTTTTTCTCTAGAGTGTGTTTGTTTTAAAATAAAAACGAGGGCTGCAGATGCAGCTCAGTGGTAGAGTGCTTCCCTACTATGTCAGAGGCCCTGAGTGTGATCACTACCACTGCAAAAGAAGAAGAAGAAGAAGAAGAAGAAAAGAAAAATTAAATGCCACAAAGATGTCTAAAGAGTAACAGGCAAGAGGTCTTGATGATTAAATCACTCATTAAATGAAAAAACTTTAAGCACTTCCCACTGGAAATGCTAGAAAACTAGGATTAAACAAACAAACAAACAAACATGTTTTCACTCAAAAACCTTACAGGGAAAAGCAAGTGCAAGAATCCCAAGAAAATAAGCAACTGATATTTGGTGTGATGATCATTATGACAGAAGTCTGCACAAGAAGAAGAAGAAGAAGAAGAAAAATTAATGCCACAAGATGTCTAAAGAGTAACAGGCAGAGGTCTTGATGATTAAATCACTCATTAAATGAAAAAACTTTAAGCACTTCCTGGAAATGCTAGAAAACTATAAAAAACAAACAAACAAACAAACATGTTTTCACTCAAAAACCTTACAGGGAAAAGCAAGTGCAAGAATCCCAAGAAAATAAGCAACTGATATTTGGTGTGATGATCATTATGACAGAAGTCTGCACTGCTGTGGACACCCATGAGTAGAACCTGAGCCTAATTCTGTCCATGGAAGTCAGGACATGGAGGTAGCAGTCAAGCTGAGTCCTGGAGGATGAGACAAGTGTGCCAGAAAGGATAATTTGTAGGTAGGAAAAGGCTGGATATGAAGAAGCCATGTTCATAGACACTGAAACACAAAGAGAATTTAGACTTAGAACTAATATATTATCTCCATATTACAAGTTAATAAAATGAGGTTAGTCAAAAGTCATAGTACTAATACTGGTAGAACAGGGATTTTAAACACCCTTCACTGTTCAGCACTAAGCTTTTCAGCTTTCTGTGTCATGTTAAGGGATTTGTAGTTTGTCCTTTAAGATAAGGGAAACCTTAATATATATTTAAAGAGAAAAGTGGCAGAATTCTCACATACCCATATCCACTCTCCACTACTCTTGACAGCAGTGGTGAAGAAAGCAAGATTACACAGAATAGCCAGTTCCGGAGGGCTAGGAATAAAGGAAGAGAGGACAAGGATGAAAGTTCAGACATTCTAGGACTTGATAATTAATTGGGGAAATAAGGACAAGAGCAAAAACTTGAGAAAGTGTGTTGATAGTAATAAATGTTACTTAGTTACACGATGTTAGAGAATGAAGTTTTGGGGGAAGATGAGCTCAGTACTGGGTGCATTCAGTTGGAAGTACTCATGAGATCTGTAATGAAGCAGTTTTGATGCCTCAACCTCAAGAGAGAGTCTTGTAGGACAAATTTTATGCCTTTGGGTATCAGGAGTATGCATCCATATTGAGAGCATTGGCATGCAAATAGATTATTTAAGGTAGGTATGTAAAATGAGAACAGAAAAATAAGGAGGATAGAGGATGGAATAAAAAAATAAAAATTTTTAAACCTTCAGATTTAAAAATCTAGATCCTGCAAGTCACAAAGAGTACCAGAAGACAGAACTAAAAAGGTGTGGGGTGATGAAAACCAGGAAGAAATCAAATTTTAAGAAAGAAAGCATATTTTTTTAAAAAAGCACGTAACTAACTAATAAGGTTTCCTCATCATACTAAAAACTTTCAAGCCATAGCATGGTGGAAAACAAAGAATAATTATTGATTTCCATCTTCTTTCCTACAGAATCCTTATTTTGGATATTTTGGATATCATGGCTTTGGGGGTCGTCCTTATTATTCAGAAGAGATGTTTGATGATTATGAAAAGCCTAAAGAAAAAGATCCTCCTAAAACAGAAGATCCTCCACCCACAGAGCCCTCAGCTAATGCAACAGTTACTGAAACTAATTCTACTCAACCAAATGACACTAGCACAACAGGAAACAGTGCTCCTGGACGTAACACTGGGAGCAATCCTACAGGTCAAAATAGGGTCCTCCAGCCACCTGTGGTTAATGTTTCAGGCCAGGGAGTTCCCAGAAATCAAATTCCATGGAGACCAAGTCAGCCAAATATTTATGAAAATTATCCAAATCCTAATATTCGAAATTTTCCTTCAGGAAGACAATGGCATCCCACTGGTACTGTCACGGGGCATAGACAGAATGGGCCTATTTATCGAAATCGACAAGTTCAAAGGGGTCCCCAATGGAATTCCTTTGCTTGGGAAGGCAAACAAGCAGCTCATCCAGGAAATCCAACTTTTCGCAAGGCTTACTCTCCAATTTCAAGGGTCAACTATGCAGGAAATCCAGCAAACTTCCAAAGAAAACCTCAGGGGCCAAATAAACACCTGGTGGGAACCAATGTTGCTTCATTGGGTCCCAAACAGGGTACTGTTGGTCACAATGAAAAAATACAAAATCCAAAGGAAAAGTTGCCAGGTCAAAAAGAAAGAATAGTCAATCCTACAAAGGATCCAGTTGGCCCCTGGAGAAATTCTCAACATTATGGAGTTAATAAACCAAATTATAAATTGCCTCACCCTGCAGGTACCATGCTAGGCCCAAATTTTAATTCTATTGATCAACATGAAAATTCCTATTACCCAAGAGGAGATTCCAGAAGAGTACCAAGTTCCAATGTACAAACCCAAAGCCAGCATTTGCCCAAGGGAATTGCTTTAGAACCAAGAAGAATCCCATATGAATCACAAACTAAACAGCCTGAATTAAAGCACAGTACACATCAGCCTATCTACCCTGTGGAAATTCCTTCTCCTACAAGAGAATATTTTCCTGCTAGAAGAAATACCTGGAACCACCAAAAAATCCCTCCACCCTTTAAGGAAGTTTCTGAGAAGCAGGAAGAACATTTACCTCATCCAACCCATGGCTCTAGGGGAAACATTTTCTACCATGAATATAACCCCTATTATCAGAGGGAAAACTCACCATACATTAGAAGCAATACATGGGATGAGAGAGTTAATTCTCCCACCCCTATGAGGCAACCTGAAAATCCACAGTACCCCATGAATGCTCCAGATCAGAAAGAGACAGTCAATTATAATGAAGAGGACCCAATTGATCCAACTGGAGATGAATCTTTTCCAGGACAAAGTAAATGGGGTGAAGAAGAGTTAAGCTTTAAAGGAAGCCCAACAGTTAGGCCCTTTGAAGGTGAGCAATATGCCTCAAATCAACCAAAGGAATATTTTCCCTATTCCTTAGATAATCCATCAAAACCTACGGAAGATTTTCCTTACGGTGAATTTTATCCCTGGAGCCCAGAGGAGACTTTTCCATCATACAATCCAGGTCCTACTATATCACCACCTGTGGATAACAGGGGTTATTATTCTAATAATGCTGTCGGACAAGAAGAAAGCACTCTCTTTCCTTCATGGAACTCCTGGGATCACAGAATTCAAACCCAAGAGCAGAAAGAAAGAGAATCATATTTTAATAGAAATGTCTGGGATCAGTCAACAAATTTATACAAAGCTAATCTACCAGACCAGAAAGAGAACCATCTGTATTCCAGTAACTCCCCAGCTGGACTTCAGAAAAATCCAACATGGCATGAAGGTGAGAATTTGAACTATGACGTGCAAAGTACTAGGTTAAATTCACCAGAAAGAGAACATTTCATTTTCTCAGACTTAATTCTTCAAAGTTATCCACCAGGTCAAAATGAAGCACACTTATTTCACCAAAGCCAGAGAGGTTCTTGCTGTGTTGGTGGCTCCACAGGGCCCAAAGACAACCCACTGGCTCTACAAGACTACACTCCATCCTATGGTCTTGCACCAGGGGAGAACCAAGACACCAACCCTATGTATACGGAAAGTAGTGATATCAAGTATACAATACCTATTGTCTCCCCAACAAGCATCCTACCTGATCAAAGAAACAATTCAAAGAAGAAAATGCCCAGAGAAAGCCAAAACCCAAATCCTTTCAGAGATGATGCATCCACTATGAGAAGGAACACACCGTGTTTTATAAAGAAAAAACTGGAACAAATGGGAATTATGTCCTTTCCTGAAACTAGCTCTCCTCAATCAAAGAATACACTTTGTCTCAAAAGTGATTTTGAAGGAGATGGGAAAAATGTTCTAGAACAAATTTTTGAAGGCAACCAGATCAATGAAAGAACTGTTGACCTTACTCCTGAGCAGCTTATTATTGATACACCTGATGAAGGCCCCAAGCCAGAAGGCAACCAAAATGAAGTCCAAAGAAATGAGGGTGAGAGGCAGCAGCAAAGACCACCAAGTATCTTGCAGTTTCCATGCTTCAGCTCCAAATCAGCAAAGCTTCATTCTTCTAGCACTGGAACTCCATCAAGCAATAGAAAGCAAGGCCCATTTGATGGTGATCTATCTACGCCTACTGAAAATCCTAACACAGTGGTTGGGTTAGCTACTGGAGAACAATTTAAGAGTACAAATATAGACCAACTTAATGCAAATGAACAAACTCCATTTGAATCATTTCAAACAGGGAACAATCTACAGGACCAGGCACAAGACTGCTTACTAATACAGGCTTAGGGATTATTTCAACCAAGTATTCTTGGGGAAAGGAAAATAACTAATATTCTATGCCAATGGTTCCCAAACTTTTTACCCCACAAGTTAATTATATGATTCTCTTGGTGATCCTTAAATCTTTCCCTTACCCAGAAGTAGGAATAGTGACCTAGGTGGCATTAATGAGATTGGAGCTTCAATCTAGTGGCTGGATCTAGTGCTGTTACAAATTAGTGCAGATCTAAGAAAAAACATAAAGGCCATAGTCACCCCTGGTTTGAAACTTGGAAGTCACTGGTCTGGGTTTGCTTTCTTTCCCTTGCTAATTCTTCCTTTCTCTCTCAAAATTCCCTACTTGCAAAATTATCTGGCTTTGCACATCTGAATGGCAAATGAACATTCCATTTTATGTATGGTGATCGCACCCCAGTATAATCTTGATGCACTGTATATTTTTTTCTTATGTTGGTTTTTAATATTTTTCCTAGCTATTCTCTTTCAGCATTTTTCTTCTACCGACTCACTTTATTTTTATTATTTTCTTTCTTACCATCATTCTTTCTTTCTCCTTCAACCATTCTGTATTTAGCTTTCTGTTTTTCTTTCCCATCTTTCTATCACTTCTATACAAAGCTAGCTATCTTTAACTATTGTTAGTCTTTTATGTTCCTCTCCTCCATGTCTTCTTTTCTTTTCACTTTCCTGTTCTGACTCCTAACGTATCACTTAACAATTAATCCCTCTTCTCTGACTTTTTCCCTTCACTTATTCCTTTTCCTGCCATACTATTTTCATATCTTAAAACTGTACATCAATTTCCCCCTTTTGCAATTACTCTCTAAATTCTACTCTAACTTTTTCTTGGCCCAGCCAAACCATCATTGTAAAATATATTTGAAATAGAAGACAATGATACTTTTGTTTTTAATTTTGTTGTGATCAGTTAGGTAAACACATTCCAGAAAAAGGGAAGGCAGTCTAATTATTAGAACTGGCAACCTAGGTAAAAGGATTATGAAAGTAGGAAATAAAGAATTGAAGAAATTATCACCTGGAACTGAGCATCCAGAAAAAAAAAAGAATAGGACTTGCCACACCTCATCACCAACTCATAATCTGCAAGATCTACAGAGGACGTTTTTTGAAATACTGTCTTATACAGATAAAACATTCAATGTTTAGTTTTACTAGTTCAGTATAAATTATTCTACCAATATATGCAACTACTAACATGCTTATTCTTTATGTCTTTGTAGAATTATTCACAAACACATCCTCTTGATATCATGATTAAATAGTGTAAATTATTTTGTAAAGTAGATATTTCTATGTTGTCTTGCTTAGAATATATCTGAATCTTATTATTTTTACTACCATTAAAGGCATTTTGGCCAATAATCTCAATATTGCTTGCCTAGAAGGGTAAAATTCTCAAGATTACCTAGAAAGTTACCTTCTAATCCTAAAGAATTTCTTAAGAGAAAATTTCTTGGGACAGATTTCATAAGAGCTCAGAAATTTGGGGAAATATATGTTGAAAACATCCTAAGAAAAGGAAGATAATCCTTTTCCTTGGCCTTAATCAGTGTCTTGTCCATTGAAGGTACCCAATAAATATTTACTGATTGACTGATTTTTTAATGGTTTTCAACACTTGAACAAAAACAATATAGTCTGCTTTTCCTGCAGGTTAAAGTATGAGATGCTGAATAAAACACCACATTGTGTGGCTTTATATGTTCAGCAACATTTGCATCATAGAATCACAGATGGTGTTATCCACTAGTTGCTTAAATTCCTTCTTACCCTACTAGCTTTATACTTTAATCACACATTGAAAAATCATTAATTTATTCTGGGTTAAACTGCTTCTCAAAATAAAACTACATTATGCTTCACTACATTTTTCCCAACGATTTTTTTAAATCTGTATTTGAGTGCTTTCATTGCAAAATACTCACTTTGTATTTCAACAATATGTATGGGTTAATAGCTGCTTCAGCAAATACACTGACAGATCTATAAGATTACTGGGCTTTAATTATCATCTGACGCCTCTGTGATGAAAAAAAAAACTATTGCTTTGAGAACATAGTAATAAGAAGGGGAAATGTAGAAAATGATTCTTCTCATGAGTACATGTATACTTCTACAGACCTGGATACTAGACCTGAGTTCCTTGCATTAAAGAAAATGATTACTCTGTGTTCCCTGATTAAGTGATTCATAAGCTTTTTAAAGTCTGTTGTAAAGTTGAGGTGTACACAGTAGAGATAGGAGGCTCTGAAAATTACCCTCCCCTTTCTTCCAGCATCCCTATCCCACCACTGATGCTCTACTTCTACACAGAGTTTCTACATCTAGCAGTCATCACCTGCTGATTTAAATGGCTGGTTCTAACCTAATAAAGTTAAATAAAGAAAAAGAAAATAACATGTGAGAATTACAAACACAGGAGCCAATTTAGCAAGGTTAATACATACCTGCCTTAAAATCTTTTCTGTTACACAGTCTATAATAAGATGTCTGGAGGTATTGGTCCAATTGACTGGGGAAATCTTACAATCTCTCATTCTTCTGTGGGAAACATGGTAGGATGATGAAATGTAGGATCCAACCAAAGATCTAAAAACTCAGCATAGCAGCCATTATCATGGCCATTCTTTCTATGGCTTTTTGGAGCACCTAAAAATGTAAATACATGTTTTATTTCATCACTCACATCAGAGTCTGAACTCTATACATCTTTAAATAGAACTTTGAGCTACTTTCATTACTTATTTAAACATATCTCTATTTGTTTCCTCTTCCCTAATTGATCCCAGTCAACTTAAGAAACCTAAGAAAGACTCCTCTTGCCCTCAAGAAACCAAATTTCATTTCTAAGAACCAAAAATGAGCCAGAAATACTGGACTTAAAACTAACAGATCTGTTCCTCCTTCATAAAATCTTCAAGGTTTCATTGTGACTCAGACCAACTGTTAATGAAAACTCAGAAGAAAACTGCATTTGATGGAAAACAATCACCAGTTCTCAAAATAATACAGCATTTGGTTTTGTCCACCTGTTCTTCCTTGCTTCTCTACCTTACCCTATTCTAACAACAAACACTGGATCTTTTTTCCTCCCACTTTGAATTTATAGTCAATTTGACTTAGAAACACAATTCAACTGGTACAAACAATATTGCATGCTAGCAGAGGAGAAACCTTCAAAAGAAGGAAGAAGGTGAGCTGTAATTTGACACAGACAAAATTGTTAAATAAATGAGACTGCTCTTAGTGCCCCATTACCTTCCCAGTCAAGGTCCTCTGAACCTTGTCAGTCCCTTAGAATTTAAACCATAGAGGTAACAGCCTCCATTAAGGAGGACTGGGGCAGTTTTCTGACAGTGCTATATACCATAGCAGCACTTCTCAAGCTTTAATGTATATCTGAATCTCATTAAAATGCAGATTTTAATTCAGATCTGGAGAAAGGACCTCTATTTTGTAGTATTGTAATCCTAGGTGATTATGATTCAGCCAGAAGATAGACCAAACTTGGGATAGCAAAGTGCCTAGGCTATTTCTATAAGTCATAACTGCACACTAACCAGGGCAGGGAAGGGATAGAAAGGTCTTGACTACTAAACATACTGAATATCACCAATTCAAGAGGATGTGTACAAATGAAGCATGTAAGTAAAAGGTTTGACAGAGAACACACACAAAGGAACAAACTAATCCTATCTCTATTCCTACATTTATCTTAAGCTCCTTTCTGGCTCTTTGCCTGGCTCATGTAGTTCTAGAAGTTTCTACCTCCAAGTGTGGAAGCCCTAATTCAGTTAACATGTGTTTCACGATTACCCCAGCCCTAACATTCCCAGCTTACCTAAAGTCTCACAGTATGTCATCTTTTATATTTAACCATACATTCATCCCATATCATGTGCTAATTTTCCCAATATTAGTTTTGCCTATAGAAGGAGTAGGAAAACTCCTAGAAATTGTTCTTATTCTTCTTATACATCCTTTAATAATTGACATTGTGCTGGGAAGAGTAGAAGCTAATTAAATATCACTTTCTATTTAAATATGTATATAAGTGAATAAAAATTTATAATTTCATGCCAGGCGCTGGTGGAGCCACCTAGGAAGCAGAGATCAGGAGGATCGTGGTTCAAAACAGCCAGGGCAAATAGTTCTCGAGACTCTTATCTCAAAAAACCCTTCACAAAACTAGGACTGATGGAATGGCTCAAGGTGAAGGCCCTGAGTTCAAGCCCTGGTACTGAAAAAAAAATTGTAATTTCCTAATTATCAAATGTATACTATTTGTAGAATATTTGAAAAATACTGCAAAGTAAAAGAAAACAATGAAAAATCTTTTTTCATGTATGTATACATAAGGGAATTTTTCCAATTAAAAAACAACTTTTTTCCCATAGAAGCTGAGAGTTTGGGATAACAAAATATCCAATGACAGCCTTTCTGTTACATTTGAAGTTAATCACACAGACCCTGAACTTTGCAGATAGGGGTCTCAGCAAAGTTCTTCAAATCAAAAACACTCTGCAGCTCACCAGTCTTCCCGCCAGCCTGAATAAAACCCAGTCCTAGAACCATTCATGGGTCAGGAGAACATGGTTCAGTATGGCTATACAAGTGAATTTTCAGAAAGCCGATTCTGAGTCTACTAATTATTACATTATAAGGCCTTCCAGAAACAGCCTTTCTAATATATTGGCCAGCAGGCCCTGTTGATAGCTCATAACCATTTTTATACAAGTCCTGAGAAGTTTTAATTTAAGAAATAATTTTGAAGCCTCCTCTCAACCTGCCTCAAGAATTCATGAATTTTTTTGAGCTTCCTACACCAGATAAAACAAACATTCCTTGAAACTTTAGGAAATCAAGTTTCAGAACCCACAAGAGAGTCCAACTAGAGATGTCTCCTAGAGTCTGGGAGGATTTCCCCCAAAGTGTGAAGCTAGACTGAACTGCAAAAATATCAGTTTTCTTAACCAGATCATTGTTGTTGCCACCCAGACTTCCAGTCATCTATTTAAGGTGTTTATTTAATGTCAGCCTCTAAGCCTGTCTACTAGGGAGAGGGAGAGGGAGAGTACAGTTGTGAGCTGGGAATGCTAGATGTCTCTGGGGATGTCTGAGAGAATTCTCCATCAAGTCCCATATTCTTTGGCATCTAAAGAAACATGAGACAGCAGCAAGTTCCCTTGCTCTAAGCATTAATCTCTCTTACTCTCTCTCTCTCTCTCTTCTCTTCTCTCTCAGCTTTTTGTTTGTTTCAACCAATTTCTCTTATTAAATGTAGTTCTTTACATGATTCTGGAAAATAGAGCAAAAACCAGACCCTAGATCTTAAAAAAAAAAAAAAAAACTTAGGAAAAAAAAAAGCGGACATTGTCTAAGGTATATTCCCTCCTGCTCACACCCTCTGTGCCCCCTGAAATCTTTTGATCACTTATTTTTTTAAAAAGCAAAAAGATAGGATAGAATGCTGCTATTGTGAATTACAGATGCTACAAACGTGGGTATTAATGAACTACCACAATACAACAAAATACTGCATTTTATAGAATGCACCTTTTGTAAGGACATATTCTGAAAGTCATTTTTTTATGCAATAGCTTACATTTTCTTTTTCACATTGTAGAAGCAATTTCTGTAAAATAAAAAATATTTAAAATTTCATTTTTGTTGTCTGTAAAATATTCTTAAGTATATCTATATTATCATTTCCTTGATGATAGACTCAAGGCTTATGAATTTTCACCATCATAAATGTCATTATAAATATCTCTTTATTTTTATTTTTTGGTGGTACTGGAGTTTGAACTCAGGGCTTCACACTTAACTAAGCAGACACTCTACCACTTGAGCCACTTCACCAGTCTTGTTTTTTTGAGACAAGGTCTCACTAAGTAGCCCAGGCTGGTCTTGAACTCATGAATCTCCTACCTCAGCCTTCCAAATACCAGGATTATAGGCATGTACTACCATGCCCAGATCTATTCTTCTTTATTAGTATTTCTATTTATTTTCTCAGAAATGGATTTACTGGGGAAGATAGGCTAAAAATGTTAGGACAGGCTAATATACTAAAAGAGAGCACTGGCTTTTACAGTCATGAATCCAATTATCAGTTCATCAAATGCTATTTGTAAAACTTTAATCAGGTTTTTTTTCTATTCACATCTCAATTTTATCATTTTTTAAATGAAGATGGAACTTTTCTCAGAGCATTGTGAAAATTAATTGAAACTGCATATTTGCAATATTCATTGTACTTCTTAATTTAGCCACTAGATGGAAGTAGAGGTTTATAATCCTAAAGCTGTGGTTCTCAATCAATTCCCAGCACCTACAGACCTAGAAATTAGTGAAAACTACTTCTCCAAAGCACTTCAGGACTAGGTAATCTGCTTTAATGAGTCATACCTGTTATTCTCATGCACTCTAAAGTCTGAGAACCATTAATCTAATATTTCTATAAAATTAAAAACTAGTTTGGTGTCTTTGCAGAGATGGGCCAGATAATTAATAACAACTGCAATTTACAGAGTAGTGTTGACTGCTACAACAGCTGTCCTAAATGACATAAAAAACACAGGCATACCTGTAGAATAGATCCTTATTTTTATAAAAATCTGTGAAATAGTTATTTCCATTCTTTAAGTGAGGGAACAGTCTTGAATTAACTTGTCCAATGTCACTTAGTAATTTAGTCTGTATTCCAACTTAGGCCTTGAATTTACTCACTAGACTACACACATTGCTATAGTCTTCTAACAGGCAATTATCCTATTCCACTACTTCCAGGTAAGGAGGCATGCACATCTTCTTATGAGTGTGCATACATCTGTGTATTTGTGATTGCAGAAGTGTAACTATGGTTCATTTTGAATCTCAAGTCACATAAAGCCATAAGAAATGGCAATCATCAAAGTGAAAACTGAGTGTTTAGCTTTGGTCTATTGGTTTCTAAGAGCCTCGCACAAAAAAACATTACTCTAATTACTAATTCAAATCATTTTTATCTGAGGGTGGTGATGAGCGTGTTCACTTGAGCAAATGGGTAATTTGTCAAGAAGCATACAGAAGAAAAATATTTCTCACCAATGGTATCTATTTATACCTATCTTTTAAAAATATCATTTAGTTCAAATTGAAAAGACCAGACAAAAAGTGCAAAAAATATGCTAGACTTTTGACGGATCAATGAATTGGTTGCATTAGCCTCGAAATGCTATATGAGCTGTTAAGAAAATGTTAGTGTATATAATGGTCGTTTAAGAGACTCAACTGATATTTGTTAAGGAAGAGAATAATAATTGAGTTTTCATTACTGTTTACTAGAAGTAAACCAGTCAAATTGCTTCTTATCTACTGAGTTGACTTTCTCATTTATAATGTGAAAAGTTATTTTGACAGTTAAATGAAATGACAAAGATAAGTTACTTGAGATGTGAAGAATGCTTAATATCATCATTATATTAGATAGATCAAAATTGGCTACTACGTAAATTCAGGCCCTGCAGATACAAACCCAAGATGAGATTAGAGGTATAAGAGATTTGTTAGGAAAATATCTGTGAGGGAAGATGGGCAGGGAGCCAAGGAAGAATAGGAGAGCAAACAGACACTGATGCAGATCTGATTCATGTAGAAGAATGAGGGTATGAAGAAAGTCTTGAGTAGGCATTATCTGATGGTACTACACTGCTAGGAAATTTTCAACAAAGGAAAAAGGGAAGTCCTCAAGTCAGTGACCCATCTGAAGAGTCCTGTGTCTCCCAGAAAACTGGCCTGTCTTATTATCTGTGCCACACTCAATCATTATTGGCTGGTGCAGCCCATGAGAAACTTGACTCCATACAAATATAGTGATGGATATTAGAGCCATAGGTCAATTATTCTCCTTGCACCAAGAGGCTCCTTTCATGGCTACCATATCTACATTAATTCCTCAGTGTATTCCTGCTAAATGCTGCACTAAAACAAGCAAATACATGAATGAAATGAACTTAGATTGGTGCCTCATAAATATTATTAATATGGTGGTCTTAACATTTAACTGAACATTTGAAAGAGGGAAGGCTTACAGAACTATAAATTTCAGTCTTCTTCCAGCTAGCACTTATTGAGTTAATAATGCTACAATAATAGTCTTTCATATAAAAATCTTCCCAAAAAATTCCAATTGAATACATATAGACACTAAGTCAAAGATGGAAAGGGAGTAGAGGGATTTTTTCAGATGCAGTCTCTCAAAAAAATCTTACATCACTTTGGAATCATATTTCTTTGCCTTTATCACATTTTGCCAAATAGTAATAATTCCTTAAGTATATGTATTGTCTCTCAACTAAGCTATACTCATGCTCATTCATTCAACAAATATGTATTGAGTGCCTCTTATGCCTATTAAAGATGCTAGGGATATAACAATGGGGCTATAATAAAATAAAACTGCCTGCCCTTTTGGAGATTATACTGTAATTAGGTAGACAAATCATGTGATAAATCAGCAAACCATGTACTCTGCTTAAAGGTGAAAAACCACATGTGGAGAATAAACCAAGATAAGAGAGGAGGGCTTCCTTTTTTAATTTTATATTTCAAAAAAATTTTTTAACATTCAGGATAGGTCTCAGAGAGATGACAATGGAGAACAGTTAGAGGAAGTGAACAACAATGGTGACTTTTGTCTGTTTGGTTTTGGGTTTTTGTTTTCAATTTTTGGTTTTTGGGTTTTTTTGACAGGATCTTTCTATGTAGCTCAGACTAGCCTCAAACTTGTGATCCTCCTGCCTCCACCTCCCAAATGCTGTGATTACAGGTGTGTGCCACCAAGTCCAGCAGACGGTGACTTTTTTAAGGGCACTTTCCATAGCTTAATCACCACAGAATAATTTTGTGTGTGAGGTTAATATTAAATAAGTATTTACTGATTAAGTGAAATTCAAAGATGTGGCTAAAACCACACAATAGATTAAAGATCAATCAAGAGTGGATATGTCTTTAGTACATGAAAACTACTATTCCTACTGAAGCACTGGAATGTCTATTCTTATCTCTAAATAAAGCTAATCAGTATAAGCGCAACACAATTTACTAAAACTAACCATTCCTATTTTTAAACAGAGGAAACAGAAGAATGCCTCTTACAGAAACTTGACTTTTACTAATCATCCTCCCAAAATTTTAAATCAACAGTCAGCATTTACTTTCTATAATACTCTTAGATATATGTGTAAGTTGGCGTTGGCTTTCTGCCAAGAAGTTTTATGTGCCATGAAGACCTTGCCTTTTTATTTCATTTTAGGTGTAGAATGATTTAAAAAAATCCCTCAAATGTGCTTGTATGATTCAGTGATTAATGCATCATTACATCATATTTACAGTGTTCATTAATAACAAATTACTTTTAATTTACACATAAGAAAGTCAACACAAGCAAACTTTTTCCAATAAATTATTTCACACAGATATATGCTTATGAATCTATTTAATTGTTCAAACTGTGCTAGAGAATACATATTTTAGAATACATATTTCATTAGATTCAGTTTCAAGATAATTGATTTCCCATGGGAATTTCTTACACCTGCTTATCAAAAAAAATTTATCAAAAAAGAAAAATGTTATTATCTGCTGCCAATTCTATGTATTATGTCAAAATATATTTTTAATTATGCATTTAATTGTCGCTTTTAGCAAGTTGGTTTCAAAAATATTAGAGATAGCATTTTAAATTATTTTTATAAAGTTCTAAAACATGTTCTCTTATTTTTCTAATTAATACATATAACTGACTTGTGTTTATACGTATATTTTCTCTACACAGTGAAAATTTTTAAAAAGAGGATAGTATAGAGTACGCAAAGCTCTTGCTCTCCAAGGCAAAGCAAAAAAAAATTTTTTAAGTATTTAATTCAACTATCCCTCCTTATTTTTACTCTTTGAACTTTGTTTTCTCTGCTACTCTATTTTTTAAAATGTTAGAAACAATACTCTTAAGTAAGCACAACCCTCCAGGCATGGTAATATTAATACTTAAGAGTTAATAAGTAATTACCTAATAAAAATAACAATGTTACTATTTCAATTACTTGGGGGGAAGTTAGTTTCACATCATCCAAAAAAATCTTGGTTTCAAATACCAAGTTAGTATAATTCATACTAACTTTTTGGATCAAAATGGAGAGCCTCTCAAGATGAAAAAAAAAAATGTTGCTCAATCAGCAATGACTTAAATTAGTCAGGATAACAGGAATCCGGGGTTAAGGCTGTTCGCACCATTTTGGTCTCACCATTATATGTAAGTGGGACCATAGTTGTATAGCACTTGTTTCTGTCATAAGTATAGCAGGTCTCTGTAGCACTGTCTTCATCACAGATATTGCTCTGGGTCGCAGTAACTACCTGATTATCCAACTCCACTTCTGTGGGATCACATTTTTTACAGCTGAAAAACAGAATGCACACATTAGAAATCCCCATTAAATGTTATCTCCAAATATAATTAGTTCTTGTAGCTCTGACCTATGATAAAGGATAACTCCTTTCAGATCTAATTAGTTCTAATAATTAATACAGAACTATTTGAGAAATGTTTCAGCTTTTACTGTACAAAAATTAAAGTTTAGCAATACAATTAATGATATGATAATGTGGATTGTTTTATCTATGCCATACAGCAACTTCTATTGTGTTAGGTTTATTCCCAACTGTGTACTTGTTTAAGTGAGTTATTTACAGTGGCAAGAAAAGATTTTTTTTTGAAACAAGGTTTCACTATGTAGTTCAGGCTAGCCTTGAACTCTTCCTGCCTCAGTCTCCTTTACTGCTATGATTATAAGCAAGAACTACCATGCCCAACTAAGAAGAATATTTTTAAAAAACTGTTTGATATGAACTCTACCATTTTCCAAAGACACATCTGCATGTTTATAAGCTGAAATCGACTTATTTAATGATTAAGATAAATTGACCCATCCTGTGTGATTGGCTATAATTTCTTTAGAATAAATTTATAGTAGCTTTTTATCTGTGACAAAATTATATGAATTTATGATACCTAATAATTAACAAAATAAAAGATGTATTCAAAAGGTCAGATATTTGTAAATGTTTATACCCAAATATACTTTCAGAAACATTCTCACTAACAAGATTAGTTAAAAGTTATTAACTTCCACATATATTAGTATGAAGGAAAATCTCTTACAGATCAGACAAATGGTACACAAATTTGGTTCTTAATGGTGAGGTGGGATCAGAGATATTCTCCCTGCTGTTCAGAGGAACACTAAAAAAAAGAAAGAAAATAGTAAAACAATGGGACACACATTATTTCTGATACTAGGATTAGTGCTAGAATAGTATTTACTATTTAATTAGAACAGTACTTACCATTACACTTAAGGACTCTCTTATAATACTATTCCTCAGTTATTTTATAGAAATTTACCATGAATTTTGTTTATGTATTTATTTGAACTCAGGGCCTCATGCTTTCTAGTCTGGTGTTCTAACACTTGAGCCATGACCCCAACCCTTTTTGCTTTAGTTATTTTTCAGGTAGGTCTCATGCTTTTTGCCTGGGCCCTCCTCAGGCCCCAGTCCTCCTACCTATGCCACCTGTGTAACTGCTTTATAGATGTATGCTACCATACATGGCTTGTTTGTTGAGATGGCCTCAAACCATGAACCTCCCAATCTCCACTCTTGAGTAGCTGAGATTCAGGTGTGAACCATCACACTAGGTCAACAACTTGCTGTATTTCATATTCAAAAGAAGACTGAACATAATTTTTAGCCTCCTGGTGCTTACTGTAAGCTGTGTGCTTACACTGACTATATAGAAAGAGGAGGGGAAGTAAACTGACCCCATATATACCTCAGCCCAGGCCCTGTGTCTAGGCTGTATTATGAATGGAAAGACATGGCATGGGAGAAAAAAAAAAGAAAAGTAATTTCTCTGCTAACTACTTTCTGCTGATTTGGCAAATTTCCACTTTTACAGTTGAAGTTTTACTTTTGTGATGATTATCTTGATTCCATTCCCTCCCCCAATAAACTTCCCTTGTAACCTCACGAAAGCTCATATACATTTATTACAACAAATGTCGTATCATAGTTGCTCATCTATAGAGTGATTCCTCTCCTAGGCTATGAAAGTTCCTTGAAGCAAAAACATTTATGTATTCCCACTGACTCATTAGATATATGAAATATGTTCAATACTTGAGGAATGAACAGGTAGACAGATTTTATTATCTATTCAAAGATAGGGAAAGTATAAATGAGACAGGTTAATGACTTAACAACGTTCACACACATTTAAGTAGCAAAGCTGAACCTTTTTCACTTGTAGTGTCCCATGAAAAATACATCATTATCAACTAATTCAGATGATTTCATTAACTTCTGCAAAGTTGCATCATTTCATAAGTGATGGGGTTACGAACAATGCCATAACACAGCAATGCCAACATACTTCAGAAATTAGATCAGAGAAGATCAATATACATCAAGCAAAACGGCATGACGTGACTAAATATTTTATTTCAGTAAACAACATAACATAACAGAAAGGAATGAATTAAGGAATCATGGAATCATGGAGGACTGTCTTTAAAAAAAAAAAAAAAACTCCCTTGGGGGATTTAAATAAGGTAGGCACTCTTCAATCTAGTTTAAGTGCCAATGTCATGAATATATCCCTTCCAATTACATGCCTCTGCAACTGTTCTGTACCTGAGGTATCTGTGTGCTTAAAGAAAACCTGCCATAGGAAGTGATGGCTAAACCAAGACATACAGATTAAGGAAGAGTTAACCAGGCTGAAGGGGGCCAAAGTTCTTCAAACAGAGGAATCAGTAGATTTAAAAACAGAAAAGGAGAAAACACTGTGACTATGAGGAAAAAGGCACCCCAGGATTGCTAGATTTTTAAACACAAAGTAAAAGAAAAGTGAGAATGGATAATCTTGAAAGTTATGCTAAGTTTTATAGGTTAGACCAAGGCATTTGTAATATATCCTCATAATAATATTAGGGAAGCCACTAAAAGGGTTTTAAGCAGGACAGTGACATAATGATAACTAGCACACAGGACAGATATTCACCTAACAGTAAATATTTTTAATATGTTGCAGGAACTATACAAAGTCTAAAAGGAATAGATATTCTCAATTTATTTCTGCAATAACCCTATACAGGCAGTATTTTTTCTATATTTAAAAATGAGAAAAATTGAAGTTTAGAGTGGTTAAGTAATTTGCATGTAAGAATACACAGATATTGTGACCTAGCCAGAATGTGAAACAAAAATTTCAAATACATTATATTTTTCCCATTGATTAAATGGGATTGAATGCTATGTTCTCTTCTATAAGAGGTATTTGATAGGGGAAAATTATTAAGGTAGGAGTGTTTATCAAGGAAAATATATTACTGATTGAATCCCACAGAAATCTTACTTCTTGCCTGGAAGGGGGAGGGCAAACAATGTATACACATGTGAGTAAATGTAAAAATGATACAATAAAATAAAAAAAGAAACCTTATTTCTGAAATATTAGCATTCTTGTTACTCAGTAAGAACTACACAACATATTACTCAGGACTATATGCAAAATGAATAACTCAGTCCAATCCAGACGCAAAAACTGAGTCAATTTAGTCAATTTGATCAGTTGTCTTATCTTTATAAATACGTCTAAATACAGTGTAAAATACTCAGAAGGCCATTTATGGAACAAAATAGGACTTTTAATGTTATCTGAAGTTTCAGTTTGAACACATTCAAGGACGACTGAAAGTTCTGATTCCAATCGAAATTACTCCATATAAGCAAGGCATGTTGATGACTAAATCAGAACTTTTGGTTATAATTTGATCTACATGATCAGTTTTGGATTGGAACACATTGTCCCTGCCCTCAACTTCTACAAAATTGCCTCAAGGTCATTAACAAGATTCAAATTCATGTAAGATACTACACATCAAAAAAGGGAGTAAAAATATAGGAATTACAGTTAAATAATGCTTAATAAAATAAAATATCTGCTTACAATAAAAAAAAAGGAAATATGGAATGTCACATACATAATTCGGATATTTCTCTCCACAATGTCCTCATTAGGATCTTCAGTAGAACGGATGATCCTGGAGGTAACACGGGCACACTTACATTTGTTGTCAGCAAGAACAGTCCTTTCCTCTTCATCTTGGGCTTGAAAAAAGGAAAACAAAAATCTGTATGTATTGTCTTGAGTTCTTTATCTTTCTTGCCTACAGAAAAAATTATTTTTATCGTTGATCAGTCCTACCTATTTCTACTTGTTTTCTTTCCAAATCTAAAATAGCTAAGTGGAATTTCACATCAGAGAGAAGGAAATCCAAATATACTCTAAAAGGAATTTTCTCTTTTTCCTTTGGATCAATTATGAGGACCTAGACTGAAAGTACTCTGATTTTGATCTAATGCTTATCTTTTATTATGTAACCTTGTAAAATCAGTGACTAATACCAAATGAGAAAGAAAAGAATCCAGATTTTTCCCCAACCAAACGATTCATTCAAAAATGAAGAAAAAAATAGTTCTTCCTTTTATAAAGCCAATTTGAAATGTCACATGCTTCCTGAACTCTCATTTGTACTTTGAAATTTTTTTTAATTAAATTGCATTAGAACTAAGAACAGGCATGTTTTCCCTCAAGATAGCCTTATTTTGTAAGGTTTGTAACTTTCCTAAGGTAATTATATTTTTCCTTTTTCATAATAGAATCAAATTATACTAGCACAATAATTCAATCAAATAAAATAATCAGGAGTGTATTAGTACTTCTTATAAGAATTATTTTTAAAAAGCATATATAGATATAAATTTATGAAAACAATTTAGAAAATATTTTGAGGTATGAGCTCAATTTGACATAGTATGCAAATACACAGAAAAAATAATAAATGAATTAATAAATAGACAAACATTAAAAAGTTAACACTGGCCAGGCTTGTAATGTTTGCAGTTTGAAGTCAGCCTCAGGCAAGACCCTATCTCAAAAAAAAAAACAAAAAACAAAAAATGGTTTGTGGAGTGGCTCAAAGTGTCTCAGTTACCAAAAAAAAAAAAAGTGGGGGGGGGGACAAGCATGCATGAGGCCCTGAGTTCAAACCCCAGTCCATCAAAAAAAAAAGTTAACTCTGTCAACATTTACTGTCTAACATGTATAATCTGTATAGCAGGAAAAGAAGTCTGGTAAATGTTGCAAAGAATAAACAAAGAAAATTGCTATTATCTGGATTTGGATCAATTAACAAATATTTGAACAGTACATTGTATTATTTAATAGTGCTAATTAAATAATCGTGATGTTAACTACTTTTTTATCTTTATAATTTTAGCTAAGTAAGCTTTTAAAATTCCTCCTGTTAAACCTCAACTTAAAAAAAGCAAACACAAAGATTTAGCACATTAACTCAATCTTTGTAATGTTAAATGATCAGAAGAGATACTGTAATTGTAAGACTAATTATCCTGAGATGATTCCCAGAGCAGAAAGGACCTAATTACAATATTTCAATCTTAATGATAACAGCCATTACATAAGATCATTGTTACTGTACTTATAATTGTTAAAATACTTTATAACGCATTATATCATTATTCATAAATTTTTAACACAGCCTCTGACAAGTCTATATGACACTGGAAAAGAAACATGGACTCAATTCAAGACAATCACACAACTCATTAATTTTCTGAAAATAGTAAAGTGGCTCAAATATTGTCCTTGTCCCTACTCTGTATCCATACTTCTTAAATGTTTTTCTCAATGAAGCATAAATGAGCATGTAGTACTTGACCAAAATTATAGGAATCAAGCATATGACTTCACAATTAAGTAACAAACAGAAAATGTCATACTCTATTATTGTATATTATCTATTTTTATTCCTTACCAGAAACATAGAGATTATACTTACTATTATTATATAATTATTATATAAAAATATCAGGCAGTCTAATCGTTCTACCATAAATCTACCAAAATATCTACCACAATTCATTGAGACTTAGAGTTTAACATTCTCTCACCAAAAGATTTTTCCTAAAAAAATCTATTACTAGAAATTTGCCTTACTTTAAGAGCATGTAACTCATAGTAAGCTCTCAAAAATACATTTGTTAAACTTAATTCAGTTCAAACAAACAAGAAAATAGAATTACATCATAATACATGGTAGATATGTCCACAGTGCGTTTACTTAAAGATGGTTCTTTTACACAGGCAGAATAGGATAGCAGTAAGGAGTGTGGGCTATAAGGTCAGATTGCCTGGTACTATCTACCACTGTGTGACCTTGGGTAAATTATTTCACCTCTCTAGGCACAAATGCTTCAACTATATGTTGAATATAATAATAGAACCTATCTTCATATGGTTATTGTGCAAATTAAATGAAATATTATATATTTATGTAATATTAAATGAAAGCTGTTAGCATAATACCAAAACACAGTATTCAATAAGTGATAGTTATTTTATATATTGTTACATATACTTTACATACATATGCTTATAGGTATATAAGCAGGAACATAAACATGTTTATAAACAGAAATTTCCATGTTTATGTACATGTGCATATATTGTACATGGTTTATTACTAATATTTTACACTTTAAATACTATTAGAAAGTTACTCTTCATGATATTAGTAAATATATATTATAATAATTATTCTTAATTACATTTCTGTTATGCTGTGTTTTGAAATAAGAATAGACTCAGTGTTAGAAATAATCCAAATTATGTTACTTCTAATTCATGTGGCCATCTAGATGAAAATTATTTAATACTGTACTTCTATATTCAAATTTTATTTCACTTTCTACAGCTGTTTGAAAGGACAATAAACAAAATATCAAAAGTACAACCATTAAGTTTTAACAACCTGTACAACATTGAACACTGTTAAAGGGTCCCAATGTATCTGTGGGCTCAGATCTTGGAAAATTCCCTCTGGGGAAACAAAAATCACAAAGCATTCAATATTGTACTTACAGTGATTATACATTTCTCTAGAATATTAAATTTTGGAAATTCAAGGAGAATATTACTGATTTTAAATATTAAATGTGAAGAGTCATAAGTAGTGCTATCTACAGTCATATAAAAATTTAATTTTCTTATTCTGTAGGATGTAGTAGACAAACGAGAAAAACAGAAGAATCACACTAAGCCTTGTTTGTGTAAGTATCACTGTTCATATAAAGATTAAAGCACGTTAAAAGAAAGCAACTGGCTAGCTGGCCAACCAAAGCATAAACTTAAATCTTCAATTCTGAGGGAAAAAAAAACGGATCTGTACTATATTTTTCCTTTTATCTGGCTTATTTTACAAATACCACCTACCTGTCACAAGGACAGCCTTAAAAAAAATGGCCAGGACTCCCCAGAAAAGCAAATGGTTCTTCATCTTGACTTCACTTCTTTTGAAAAACTGGAGCCAGAAACCCAGGGTTAAGGTATGTTACCTCTAAGGAGTGTGCAAATGATGGTGCTTCTGCTTTCTTAAAATAACACTCCAGGCAACTAGCAAACTAAAAACAATCACAACTGCGGTTGAAGTCTAAACTTTAAATGTTGCACTGGAAAAAACCGTATGACTTATATTTAAGTATTCTTTGCTAAAGTATCCCCCCCAAAAGTCATGATTTGATGCAATCATTTTTATATTTTGCATTGTTATACAAATGTGTAAAACAGATGGCTAGTAATGTCAAGTCAGGAGTCTACTAAGAATGTTTAAATGCAAGTTCTCAACTTTATTAGCAAGATAAATTCATACTAATCTTGAAATCAAATAACTGGCACTTGTTGTGGCTGGAACAATAAATGAAGGCAAGAAAAAGAAAAAGGAATGAAGGAAAAGAAAAAACAAAACAAAGGCCCTTTACAGTCTCAATTGCATCTTTTGTCAGTTTTTAATACTAGTCTTTAATTTACCATGCTACCAGATTTAAACATCTACGTATATGTTCTTATTACATTCATTTATTTTATAAATTCACATATCTAATTAGAACTAGAAAGTGATAAAATACTGGACAAATCAGTTGCTACATTTTAACTTGATAGCATTAAGGCAGACTTTGTGTTTTCCCATCTAGAAACCCCTTTCAGAATTATAAACATGAGATTATTTTTATTTGAGATGTCTCAACAGAAAAGTGAATCACTGAAGTATTTTGTCTAAATTTTTTCAATTAATTAGTGTCAATTTTTTTAAAAATCCTTAGCTTTTGGATAGAGCAAACTCTTCCCATTCCCAAGACATTACAGTTTCTTATCTGGTAGGCATATGTTGGTACATTTATATGTAACAGCAGCAAATCTGTATTATTTTTGGTTCTTAGCTCTAATATATGAAGAGTTTTTCTAGGACTTTAAGAGGTAATAAATAATACTTCTGGATCATAAGTAGGCAAGCTAAAAGTAAGAAATGGCAGAATGAAAGAGATATTCAATGCTAGCACATAATTATACTCCTTTAAAGTAAATGTATTGAAAGTAGCAAAAACAAAGAGCAAGGCACTAGAACATATAATATTACTATACCATCATGTTTATTTTCATTTTAATTACCTATCAATAGGACTTAGAAACTACCTGGATTTTAAAAAAATAGACTGGAGCCAAGCATGATGGTGTATCCCTGTAATCCCAGCACTTGGAGGCGAGGCAGGAGGATTATAAATGCAATGGTTACACATGGAGACCCTGTCTCAAAAAAAAAAAAAAAGAAAAGAAAAGGAAGGGAGGAGGGAAGAGAAGGGGAAAAAAGAAGGGAAGGATGGAGGGAGGGAGCAAGAGAGGGAGGAAGAAGGGCGGGGGGGGGTTTGGGGGGTGCATATTAGCTTAGTTTGTGGTCAGGATGCCGAAACAAGTATCAACCACTCTAAGGGTTCCTCACCCCTAACTGTAGTTTCTAAATGACTAATTTATTCTATAACTCAAAAAAAAGAGTAATTAAAAGTTAGCTGGACAGTTTAAGTCATTATTTCCTTGAAAATACACCCAAGGTTCAACTCCCTCCCCTATGCAACTTTGATAAAGCCCTGGAGACAAATTAAATCCTCTCCAACAGCTTCTTTTCCATTCTTTTAGTCTTTCACTTTTGTATTCCTTTTTTCTGGCAGCACTTGGGGGCTTGAATTTAGTCAGG